TGCAGCAGGCCAGAAGGGACGCCGAGCGCTCTGGAAAGAAGGTGCCACCCTTCGGTGGTTTTGGTAGCGCCGGAATGAGCAGTGTATCCTCGAGCTCCGTCATCACAGACACCATTGTAGAACCCGAGAAACCCAAGATCACACCGACTCCTGTCAGGTGCAGCTCCAAAACATCCTTGTTGCCCCTGTAGTTAAATTTCACATTTTTAAACTAAACGTCAGTTGTTTAAACTGATGAAACGTTGTTTTCCTCCTTTCTCTTGTTCAGATCGAGTGGACCAAGCAGGGCTCTGAAACTGGGCGCTAAAGGGAAAGAAGTAGACAACTTTGTTGACCAGCTCAAGTCTGAAGGTGAAACAATCATTCCATCTACAGGAAAGAGAGGCTCAGATGTGTCGAAAGTTCTGGCACCACCAGTCAATGTGGAGAGGTACACGTCGTCATGGTCATCATTTTATTACCTCCATTATTTTTAAACATCTTGTCTTATGTCTTGTCAAAGATTGATGCTGGTTGCTGTTAGTGACCTGCTTGAAATACCCAGCATGAATCTAAATGTTACAAATTATCTGCAGAACAAATGGTTTACAAAAGTCATACCTAAACAATATAAAATTATATTTGTAAAAAAGTGCATGTAAACAGTAGAAATCCTTCAAACACGTAGAATGCAGGTGTGAAAGTATGAAAAGGTTTTATGTCGTTCCAGTTGAGTCGTCTAACCAGTGTGATTAAAACCATCGTATACAGATGTGATGTCAAACATCTTAAGACTTTGTATGAGGATCCAGTGTTCACATGAGAAGGACCAAGAACATATTTACATACCTCATAAATGCATCACTTTAAACCATTACAGAAAAAAGCTTCAGAAGAAATTTATTCCTAAAATATTTTGTCTACTTTAAAATGTGCAAATAAATTTTTTGTGACGAGATATTTTGTTAGTTTGGTTTTGAAAAAGATGATGGTGCAACTCATGGACCAGTTATTTTAGGAGTAAACGTGCTGCAGACTGCATCAGGTTCACAAGTTGTCAGTTCAGTTTCTACATTTTTATTTTATTTTATTGAATCTTTATTTCTACGGTCGATGAGTCACAAGGACCCATTTTCAACAGTCCTGTTTGGCAGCAGATGGTGGGGGTTAGGGGCCCATAGTGGGGCCAATGAGGGTGGAGGCAGGTGTGGTTGTTTCTTCTTTTCCACCCACATTTTGGTGTTGTCTGTTCGGAGAATTGAACCTGTGACTGTCCGATCACAGGCCCACCTCTAACCTCTGTTCCACCTCTCCTATAAGTTGTGGTGGGTCAGGATCTTATGAATAAAGTATGATGACGACACGGTTTTAAGTTGTTTTAAGTTACATGGAAGTTTGTAAATTACAGGAAATGTGAGATTGTGTTTTGTCTGATCTTCATTTAGGTCAGTTGTGGATGAACAGTGTGATCGATCTAAGGGCACACAGTGACATCATTTGATAGTTTACATTTCCCCACGGGTGAAGATCAACTTTTGTAAAAGATCCTTAAAGTAATCTGTTGCGATTCTGGTTTCTGACAAACTCTCTTCAATAAATATTAGTTTATTAAAATTATACATTCGTTACAACAATTAGCTTTGTCTTTAGAGCAAGCTTGGAAGAAACATTTAAACCTGGAATATTTAATTTCATATCCAGAAGTTTAGAAGGTGCTGTGTGGTGGCCTTTTCTTACTGCTGCTGTTCACACGTGTTCAGAATGATTGACTGGTTTGACGGGTCATAGATGGTCAGTCTTCTCTGGGTTGATCTTTATTTCACGTTTTTTTTTTTTTTTGCAGCGTACATCTCCGTGTGGAGGAGAAGATCTCGTTGACCTGTGGCCGGGATGGCGGCCTACAGAACATGGAAATTCTTGGCATGGTGACGCTCCGAGTTACTGATGAGAAGAACGGCCGCATCCGCCTCATTGTCAGCAATACTGACAACAAAGGATTACAGCTGCAGGTAAGAACAATACGCAGCGTTTTCTGAGTTTTTTCAGATCATCTCAAGTCTTTGAGTTTCTCCAGAGCAAACGTTTGGATCTTGCATTAAATCTCTCCATTAAGGCTTGTGAGTTAAACGGATTCTTACCCAGAGCCAATCAGCGTTCAGTTCAGTTTATATAGCACCAAATCACAACAAAGTTGTCTCAGGGCACTTTACAGAAACATTCACATAAAAGCCAATTAGTAAAATTCTCTATCTAAGGAATCCAGCAGACAAGTTGAATCTTGGCTTCGTTGCAGTCTCCCATCCTGAGCAAGCACAGTGGCAACAGTGGAAAGAAAAACTCCCTTTTAGAAAGTAAGAAACCTCCAACAGAACCAGGCTCAGGACAAGCGGCCATCTGCTTTGACCAGCTGGTTTAGAGGACAGGAAGGAGAGACAGACAAACACAGAATGGTAGGCCCAGATGTAGGTGCAGGCCCAGATGTAGGTGCAGGCCCAGATGTAGGCGCAGGCCCAGATGTAGGCGCAGGCCCAGATGTAGGCGCAGGCCCAGATGTAGGCGCAGGCCCAGATGTAGGTCCAGGTGTACCTGAAAGACAAAAACACGTCAAGAATAAACAAAATAATTACAAATACAAAACAGGTTGAGCAGAGTAAGTAAAGACAGTAGTAGAGTGAAAAGTGTGGTCAGGTTGTCCTCCAGCAGTCTAAGCCTATAGCAGCTTAACTAAGGGACAGCTCAGGAAACCCAAGCTGACCCTAACTATAGGATTTATCAAAAAGGAAATTCTAAAGTCCAGTCTTAAAACTGGATAATGTGTCAGCGTCACGGACAGAAACTGGAAGTTGGTTCCACAAGAGAGGAGCCTGATAACTGAAAGATCTGCCTCCCATTCTGGTTTTGTAAATTCTAGGATCCACAAGTAAACCTTCAGTCTGAGAGCGAAGTGCTCTGTTAGGAAAATATGGAACAATAAGATCTGTAATATAAGATGGAGCTAGGTTGTTGAGAGCTTTGTAGGTTAGAAGTAAGATTTTGAATTCTATTCTGGATTTGACAGGGAGCCAATGGAGAGAAACTAAAACTGGAGAGATATGATCTCTCCCAGTAACTCCAGTTAAGACTCTGGCAGCAGCATTTTGGATCAACTGAAGACGTTTTAAAGACTACCAGGAAGCACTGATGATCTGAGCATGCTCCAGCCCCAGAAAGAACTGATGAAAAGCCCAAATGTGCTTGAGTGCCCTGATTAGAAGTAGACATGAGGACCGTATGACCCGGTAGTCAAAATGAAATGGCGTGGGGGGAGGGGGGGACTCTTAACTTGTAACAGTTCTTAACAGAAACAATGATTTGTCCAAGCTCTAACTGAAGACCTGTGCAGTAACGTGACAGTGTGGAATAAAGTGTGTGCAGTTTCACTGTTTCCCCTACTATTATACAAGCGCCCCGCCCCACCTACTGAACCACCCCCCGTCAACAGCTGCCGGCACTGACGTAGCACTACGCTAATGGCGCGCAAAACAGGTGTGCTATCTAAAATGCTAGAGGTGGTGCTTTGTTTGCCTCACGATGAACCCCCACTTGAAATAAACTACAGTGCACAACTCAGACATGTCACGTACCCCCGACCCCCGCTGACAAAAATAAAGCACGGCAGAGTAATGTAAACACAGTTTTATGAAGTGTTTCTTGTTTGTGAAGACGTTTGTCTGGCTCTGATTCAAAGAGTTGACTCCACTGGAACCCAGTGGGGGCCTCTGGCAGCCCCCACACCCCTGGTCTTACTGTTTTCTCTCCTATATCACATCCCTGGAATTGTCTGACATACTGCATATTAGGAATGTGCGATATGGCATAAAATTCATATCACGATATGTACTGTGAAGGGTGGCCATAACGACATATATCACAATATGTTTTTTGTATAAAACTTGCAATAGGAATTTTAAAAAAGCATAGCGTGTCCTTTTGCCATCATATATTTTGAATTAAGAAAATTCCACTACTAGGTCCAGAGAGTTTTTAAATAATAAACAAATCAAGTATTAAAAAATAAATAAGTAAATAAAGGTTGAATGAATGATAAAAAGTATTAGGCTTCTTTCTTGTAGTGCAAAAGATCAAATGTAGTTTTAGCCTTATGTTTTAAACAAAAGAATATGTTGTTAACTCAACAGTTTCCAGTCTTCTCACTTAAATGAACAGCAACAGAGCAGCAACTGAAACACTTCACCCTCCAAACGTCTAGTGGGCGCCGCCTCCTGCTTTAATGGAGAGATGACACAAAATGAGTCTGTGGCTTTGACCAGAGGGTCTCGCAGTAAAATCACACAACACAGCGTTCCTTTCACAGACCAGAGAGCAGGTTTCTCTAAAACTGACCAACGCTTACTTTAACTTTCGACCGAAAAAACTTTTGACGGAACACAGTGTTTTGAGCATGCGTTAGAATATGACAACTCTACGACAAGCCGGCCGTAGTTAGCTTGTAGCTTCACTACTTAACCCTCGAAGAAAAGACTTGAACACCACTTGCGCACAGTTTTCAACAAAAAAAAGTAACGATTAAATCAGACAACTCTGATTTTACATCAGACACAGCATTACTGCGGTTAGCCGGTAGAAGTCAGATCTCTATCGTAGGCTAAATGTCTATCGTTTCTACCGTGTACAGTTTATATCGCACATTCTTACTGCGTATTAAATCTGAAGACTCTGCACGATCTACCTGTGGCTTTATTGGTGTCTTCAGATTAAATGTTTCACTTTTTCTCAACTCTGACGTAAACTAATTAATTGTTTTTGTTGACAGACACATCCCAATGTGGATAAGAAGTTTTTCACAGCCGAGTCAGTGATTGGCCTGAAGAACCCAGAGAAGTCCTTTCCTCTCAATAACGATGTTGGTGTGCTCAAGTGGAGGCTGCAGACCACAGACGAGACCCTCATACCTCTAACCAGTGCGTTAAAAAATATGACCCGTTTACATAATCTGTGTGACTGTTGTGATGCTGCAGGTGCTGGAACTGCAAGTATGGGATTATCTGGGCTAATCTTCCGTTAGTTAGAACTAGTATTCTTCACAGCAAAGGACGACGACTTTAAACATTTTTCAGTCGGGTCATCTGGACAGTTTCTTTTGTTTGTGCTGAAACGATTCACCTTCCATCCGGAAGGCTTCTTCAGTCAAGGAAACACACCACACAAAACTGATTCTTCCCCCAACAGCTACTCCAAAGTGGAACAAACCAGTTATAGTCAGATGGCCTGACAGAAAAATGGATTGTATACCTGGATTATTGAGCGTGGACTTTGTTGACGATTACTTTAGATCAGGCCTATTCAACTGGCGGCCCCGGGGCCAAATGAGGCCCACAGGTGAGCTCAGTTTGGCCCACCAATGGGTTTATTTTTAATAAAACTAGATTTTAAACCATAAAACAAACTTACTGACATTAACTGCTGGATGTCCACCCCCTGAGCAGTTTAGTTGGCTAGTCCTGCTTTAGATGTCATGTTTAGTCCAAATAATGGTCCAAAAGAGATCAGTTTGCTTTCTAATCACTAAACACATTAAGGAGTTGGAATGGTTCCTTAAGAAGGAGCTGAGTTAGTTGACCTCTTTTAAAATCCTTAGATATATATATATATAGAGAGAGAGAGTATAACTTTAAGCTCTCAGATTTGTTTAGTTGTTCGTTGTGCAGAGTCAGCAGCATCCTTATTGGTTCACATTATTTTTGCACAGTTCTTGGTGCAGGAGCACAGAACAGGGTGTAGCTGCTCTCACCTGGATTATTGTGTGTGTCTCAGTAAACTGCTGGCCTTCAGAGAGCGCCACTGGCTGTGATGTCAACATCGAGTATGAGCTGCAGAAGGACAGCCTGGAGCTGAACAACGTCGTCATCAGCATCCCTATACCGTAAGTGCATCTGCCCAGCAAATGGATCTGCTGGAAATGTGTTCAGTTCTGGGCATGGCCAGGATTTGTATTCATGAGTAACCCAAACCAGTGTAATGTCTTAATAAAATTCTTAAATAACTTCTTAATAAGACGTCTAAAGCAAATAAAGTAATTTACGTGAGGTCACCTGTTGGGGGCGCTGCAGGATAAGTTGCTTGTAAATGTCAGTTAACGTCAGATTAATATTTGTTTCTGTTTTCCCACTATAGTTGTGCAGCTAATGTAAATGTATTTGCTGGTTATGCGTACTGAAAACTAGAGATCAGTATGTAGAGCTCCAGGTAAACATCTGGATGCTCTAATGATGCAGAAAAGAAACGAGCAGCTCAGTCTTGGCCGTGTTGTAACACATGTCCACCTGTTACCACCTTACTTTGACCTGAAGTTCCTGTATGCTGCCTGTACTGACCCTTCCTCCTCTGCAGATCTGGTGTGGGAGCTCCTGTAATTGGTGACCTGGACGGAGAGTACAAGCACGACAGCCGGCGGAACATCCTGGAGTGGTGCCTACCTGTCATCGATGCCAACAACAAAACTGGCAGCCTGGAGTTCAGCATCGCTGGGCAGCCTCATGATTTCTTCCCCGTCAACGTGTCCTTCGTGTCCAAGCGTAACTTCTGTGACATCGAGGTGGGTACTGATGACGGCTCCATCAGGTTGATAAAAGATGAACTGTGGAGATCTGGCTACTTAGGTTGGGGTCAAATTAAGAGTTGAGTAAAACTCGGAGGTCGTTATACGTTTTACTTTTGACAATTACTCATTTTCGCAGCAACACTTCAAGTTAGTCTGTTAATAAATTGTGACAAAGATGAACTATTTACGTTGATGGCACTGAATCGATCGGTCCATCTGTGCAGCATGTCGAGTCGTTTATTCAGCTCCCAGCAGACTGATGCACTTGGCACCGACATCTAACAATTAGCTCAGTTCACATAAGGTACTTTCACAAAAGGGTTTTACAAAATGTCTTCAAAGACCAGTCCACCGTTGAGGTAAATGAGTTTTTAAGCTACCGGCTGACTAAAAGTCATCTCCACCCTGTAGTCATGAGCTTTCAGAAATGAAGCCGGCTTCGTGAAGCACAACTGAAGAACTGCACCGTAAACATGGCCGATGTCTCCTTCATAGCAAATGAAGCCAGTTTAGATCATCTCTGTAGCCACCAGGTGTTTTACCTAAATTTAACAGTGGTCAGTTTCTTTTTTGGGATGAATGTGTTAAAGTCTTTAAGTCTGGGAGCAGTACGTCCTCACAAATCACATCTTTGAGCCACAGAGCTGGCTCACGTTTTCATGTGTTGTGACTTTACCACTGCAGTTGGTAGCACACGAGCACATCATGGAGGGCTGCCTTCAGCCCTGATCTCCACCTCGACCCATTCAGAAGTCACACACTAAAGAAAGTCCGCTGTCAAAGTGCCTATACCAGGGCTCTTCAACTGAACTGCTCCGGGGGCCACAGTTACTGAAAACCAGCAACTCAGGGGCCGGACATCCAGCAATTAGTCAGTATGCAAATTAAACAAGTATTACAATGATCTGATACTTTTTAAATTAATTTATTGTGCTGCATTGACTCATAAAGACAATAAACAGAACCCAGAATTGTAATTCAAAGAAATTACATTTCTAGATTTAATTCCTTGTCATAAAAGTAGTGATATTCTGATGTGAAACAATATAAACAAACATGAGACTACGCTATATTTTTAATATAACAAAGTTATATAATAGCAAAAAAAATGTGCATATATAAATATATATCTGTATTTTTCTGCCTATAAGTTGCAGTTTCTTTGCATAATTTACTTGTCCTGCGACTTATAGGCCAAAGCGACGTGTTTATGGATTTTTTTTTTCCCCATATTTATAAACCATGTTTTGGCTGAGAGATGACCGGAGAAAAAAGAGCAGTACCACTTTCAGCCACTTGATGGCAGCAGAGTAGTAATAGTGCTGAGGCATGCTGTTGTATCATGTAATAAATAAACGTTGCTAAAATGAAAGAATCAAAAGTTCAAGAGAAAAACTGGACTTTATTTATTATACTTCACTTTATATTTTGTTGTTTTTTTTCTTAAACTTTTTTGAATTTACTATGTCCTGGATGACTGAGAATCTTCACCAGCTATTAATGACACAATCGGCCTGCCGTAGTCTCCCACCTTCATTCTGCTCGTTGCTTGGAACCGTCGAAACAGCTGCACTGCCCCGGCAAAATGCAGCTGATTTGACCATTAAAGTGCATTTATTAAGCAAATGTTAGACTGAGACACACATTTAATATAATTTTGAGCAAATAAATAATAGTTTTTAAGTGTTGATCTTGTTAAAGTCCTCCCGTGCACATTCCCGCGGCCGCCATTTGGCAGCCCGCTGTTTTTTTGGCACAACACCGGTCCATTATGACCTTTTTGGTCACAAAAAGTTCTTGGACAATAAAAACATGACGTGATAATTCAGGCAAATCAGACAAACATGATCGACAGTCTCGATGACAAAAACACAGTTTATTTTAACATTTGAGCATTTCTTGAGTCCACTGAGATCAAAGGGGTCGAGATGGGGTAGAGGCAGGGCAGCCAACTCGGGACCCGAGAAGTCCCAGGTTCGATCCCCAGTCATTGCACATGATGTGGTGTCTCTGAGCAGCACACTTTATCCCCAATTGCTGCCCGGGCACTTTCAATGGCTGCCCACTGCTCCACCTGGTGATGGATGGGTTAAATGTAGAGATCCAAGTGCACCATTGTATGGGACCATACAATGATAATACATAACACATTATTATTATTATTATTATTTATTATTATTATTATTATTATTGTTATTATTATTATTATTATTATTATTATTATTATTATATAAAAGGATTGTCATTAAAAATTCAAAATTTTTCTTCATTTAAATTTTTTTTTAATCAAGTCATTGCTGGGCTGGACTGAAGTTCTGGCCCGTGGGCCGCCAGCTGAATAGCCCTGGCCTATACCATCACTAACAGATGTTGTGCAGTTAAGAACATGGTTACAAACTAAACCAGGTCGTGCAAAAAGATCTGGATATAGTGTTTCCCCCCACCCTTATACAAGCAGGGTGCCCCACCCTGTCAACAGAACTGAGCACCCTGCCTACTGAGCTGCTCCCACCCGTCGACAACTGCCGGCACTGTAGCACTAAGCTAGCTGCGCACAATACAGATGTGTTAGCTGAAAATTTAGATGTAGCGATCCATCCCACCCCCACCCCCCACACTGTTCAAAAATTGACCCAATTGGAGCAGAGCAGTTCTCTGTTTGATACACGGTGGGTGATGACGTCATCCTTTAAAAAACGTACTAAATGTGTTTGTTGGCGTGTGACCAGTTCACTGCAGCTGGAGGAGAGACCAGAATTGAATCACCATCACCCCTCCTCCTGCACCACACTCCCGACCTCCTCAGCACGTCTGTATCTAAAGTGTAGCATCGTACTAAACGTTAACGTGTTCCGAGCATCGTAAAGAAATGTACAACTTGTGCGCGTGACTAAATTTCTGGTCCTCAAAGGAGACGGCACCGCCGCGGTGGGAGCGCACTCTTCCTAAGTGTCTCACGGTGAAACGGGCAGAAACGGAAACGTTTTTCTGCTTTAATCTGCTGTAAATACACTGTGGGTGCCTCTCGCAAAGTCTGAAGAGGAGAACGAGGAAGTCCCACTCCAGCAGCTCCTGAAAGAGCCTGCCCCTCAGGAGCTCCAAGCAGTCCACAAGATGGCTGACTGAGAACATGTGTATATAATAATGTTTGCATATAATGAAATACTTCAGTTATCCTGATAGAAAAATAGGTCAGGTCCTCTGGATGGATTCTTGTTGTTGAAACGTTTCCTCTTTTATCCAAAGTACTTCTTCAGTCTGAGGAGCTGCAACAAACTCAGTCTTATAAATAACACCTTCTCATAGTGGATCAACCAGTGTGTTGTTGACATCCAGAACGAGCTGTTCACATGATGGAGGAGGACCAGGTGGTGTCAAAAGGAGGTGTTATTTATAAATAAGACTGAGTTAGTTGCAGCTCCTCAGACTGAAGAAGTACTTTAGATAAAAGGTGAAACGTTTCAACAAGAAGAATCTGTCCAGACTTGACTTCTTCAGATACTTAAATGACGTTTTTCTTCAGATTTTCGTCGTCTTTATTGTAAAGGTCGCAGACGACCAAACGTTTTGGCGACCGTCCAGATTTTGTCAGATTGCTGGACAACTTGCAAAATGTCCTCATGTCTGTCCCTGGAAGATCAAACCCTTTAAAAGACAGACTGGTGATGTGATTCAACAATTCAAAGTTTATCATCTAAAAACTGTTGCCCAAAGCCTTTTCTGTTTAGTCAGTCCAGAAATATTTATATAATATTGTTTATAGATCTATTAAAGTAAAAAAAAAGTCTCTTCTGAATCAGTTCAGGTCAACTGCTGACTTTTAGTGAATAATCTGTTTTAATCGGCACATTTTAAAACTGTAGCACACAAATTTTAAAGTTCAAATATAAACGGGTACATTAAAAAAAACTGTTCTGAAAGTGTTCTGATTTTTTTGTCAGTCATTTCAGAAAGTGAAACTTGTATAGATTCTTTTAAAATGGTAAAATGTGAATTTAGTTCATCTATAAAACAATAATCATCAAAACTACAAGAAATATTGAAATATTTTACTGTGTAATGAATCTACCGTACTTTCTGGTCTATAAGCAGCTACTTTTTTCACAGGCTTTGACCCCCACAGCTTATACAACGCTGCAGCTAATTTATGGATTTTAAAATTTTTTAATGACGAGCTAACAAGCTTCCAGCCGCCAAAACATTTGGCTTCATCACACCCGGGTGCTCATACAGTGAGGAAAATAAGTATTTGAACAGCTGCCAGTCAGCAACAATTATGGCCCTCAAAGACCTGTTAGTCCGCCTCTAAAAAGTCCACCTCCACTCCACTTATCATTATTCTAAATTAGAAGCACCTGTTTGAGGTTGTTAGCTGCATAAAGACACCTGTCCACCCCACACAATCAGTAAGACTCCAACTACTAACATGACTAAGACCAAAGAGCTGTCCAGAGACACCAGATACAAACTTGTAGACCTCCACAAGGCTGGAAAGGACTACGGAGCAATTGCCAAGCAGCTTGGTGAAGAAAGATCAACTATTGGAGCAATTATTAGAAAATGGAAGAAGCTAAACATGACTGTCAATCTCTCTCGGCCTGGGGCTCCATGCAAGATCTCACCTCGTGGCGTATCGATGATCCTAAGAAAGGTGAGGAATCAGCCCAGAACTACATGGGAGGAGCTGGTCCATGACCTGAAGAGAGCTGACACCACTGTTTCCATGGTTACTGTGGGTAATACACTAAGACGTCATAGTTTAAATCATGCATGGCACGGAAGGTTCCCCTGCTTAAATCAGCGCACGTCCAGGCCCGTCTCAAGTTTGACCATGACCATTCGGATGATCCAGAGGAGACATGGGAGAAAGTTCTGTGGTCAGATGAGACCAGCTTAGAACTTTTTGGTCTTAATTCCACTCGCCGTGTTTGGAGGATGAAGAATGATGAGTACCATCCCAAAACACCATCCCTACTGTGAAGCATGGGGGTGGAAGCATCATGCTTTGGGGGTGTTTTTCTGCACATGGGACAGGACGACTGCACTGTATTAAGGAGAGGATGACCGGGGCCATGTAGTGAGAGATTTTGGGGAACAACCTCCTCCCCTCAGTTAGAACATTGAAGATGGGACGTGGCTGGGTCTTCCAACATCACAATGACCTGAAGCACACAGCCAGGAGAACCAAGGAGTGGCTCCGTAAGAAGCAGATCAAGGTTCTGGAGTGGTCCAGCCAGTCTCCAGATCTAAACCCTATAGAAAATCTTTGGAGGGAGCTCAAACTCCGTGTTTATCAGCAACAGCCCAGAAACCTGGTGATCTAGAGAAGATCTGTGGAGGAATGAGCCAGAATCCTGCTGCAGTGAACCTGGTGAAGAACTACAGGAAACATTTGACCTCTGTAACTGCAAACAAAAACTACTTTTTCACTGCTGTTCAAATACTTATTTGCAGCAGTAACACACAAATAAACAATTAAATAATCATACTTAGGGCTGTTGTAAACGAATATTTTAGTAATCAGAGTCAGATTCTTTGTCATTCGCACCTTGTGGTACATGTGGTGGAGTGAAATTATGTACACAGGGTGCCACTTACATCCAACAATAAAATGTAAAATAAAAGCAATGCTAACATCTTTTGGCCATTAATCGGGTAATCAAAAACAAAATTTGTCAAGTTCTGCAGTAACTACCATACTCATTTTATGAGTGATACAAATACAGGAATAAAGAACATTTAATAAACAAAATACATAAATAAATAAACATCCCATTTAATTCCTCTTTTTAAAATATTTTATTGCTTAATTTGAATTATTTTTAAACATCACATAAAAATCTAAATGCTGTAAAATAACTTTTATGGATTGGAAAATGAATGGAATTTACAAAGTAGGATCTGGAAGGAAGGACATGATTTGTATTGAAGGTGGAGATGATCTTGTGGATCCTTCATCTTCCACCAGGACAGCAGCTGCATGTCTGTGAAGATCACATTTAAAATGCTGTTTGTGAACTCAGCTGCTGCACAACCAACATCCTGGAGCCGTTTGGACGAAGCTGTCCAACGTCGGACTCTGACATTTACTGAAAGGAAGAAGAATAAAATGGTTTTTGTTCATTGTTATGCCTTAATAAATTTTCAAGTGTACTTCATTGGATATTATAAAATTATGTAATATAGTTAAGTAATCTACACTTTCTGATAACCTGCTGCAATCAAAGTAACATTAGTGTCAGTTGTATTTGATTTATGCATTTTATTTATGTGTGAGGTTTGAGGATGATTTAATTAAAACCCTCTGTCACTGAATTATTTTTAACCGTCACAGCACAATCTAAATACTGTAAAATAATTTTTATGGATTGGAAAACTGAATGGAATCTTTGTTAGAAACTCAGTAAGAAACTCAAACTTTACATTATCTATAATGTAAAGTTTGAGTTTGTACATCGAGCTCTGCAGACTGTATTATTATTTAATCTTGATTGCTGAGCCATAAACAAATGACAGTAGTAATAAATTCAGATTTACCTCAGTTTTCAGTCATAAACAGCAGCAAGAAGATTAAAAAATCTTACCAACGCGTGTAAATACATTTACACTTGAAATATTCACCCTGAATATCTCATTTAAGTCAAAATGGAAGTACAGCAATAAATAAATGTTTCAGTCTGCTGCTGCTTTTATCTTTTACAAACTTGCATCAAGTCCTGCTAGTTTTGTTTCTCTCACAGCACGTACAGACGCTGCCAGGTAGCCACCATGATTAGTCAGTAGATTTAACGTTAGCAAAAATACGCCTCATGCCACATGACTCAGTGGGAATACCTCATTGGCTCATTGTGGTTGACGGCTGGTCACATGGCCTCAGGGAGGGATTATGGGTAGAATTTATGTTCATTGTTAATAACTTCAATTACCTGTTCATCATTATTTTAGTGATTACTCCGTTCTTGTTAGTTTATGTTCATTATGTGTTAGTTTGTGTTGGAACATTCAGTAGAGTAACCATGAGTGAGGGAGGTAGTTGTCATGACAACCAGTGGGGTACACTCTGCATGTTGAACAGTACAAAACAAGTCTGTAAGACGCCGTCTGGTGGTTGATTCTTGATCTACCACCAGAGCTGCACATCTCAGCTGTGAGCTGCCTGGCATGTTACAACATGAACACCTGCAGCTTATGTGTTATATATAATTATTATTTTTTAATTTGCTGTGCGAAGCTTATATTTGGGTGAGGTCTATAGACTGACAATTACAGTATGTATGAGTTTCACTTTCTGAAATTATTGGGAAAAATTGAACTTTTTCAGTGTTCTAAATTTTGTAGCTGCAGCTGTATTCACTGTATTGTGACACTGACGTACAAACTTCCTGTGTGGTTAAAGTCCAGTCAGTGAAAATGAATAAAATGCATCTGTTTACAATGAGAACAGTATAAAGGTAGGAACATGTTTTCTCGTTAACAGGATCGTGAATTGAAGAAGTGAAGATGACAAATCTTTTTTTTCTTGTTGTTTTCCAGGTGACCAAAGTGACTCATGTAGATGGCGACAGCTCTGTTAAATTCTCTACAGAAACCTCCTTTGTTGTCGACAAATACGTCATTGAGTAGATGTTGGATGAAAATAACTAAATAAAAAAATAAAAAATCACAATGTCCAAATCTATGCTATGGAGAAGATTGAAGATTTCTGCCTGCCGCCCCTGTTTGCTATTAGACTGTACATCGTCAGGACTGTTTGCCTTCTGGCAGAGCTTCCTCCATGGTGGAGAAGAGCAGCGGTGGTGTATTTATGTTTGTATGAGAGGATCATATATATATACATATTACATATATATATTACATATATAATGTATGTATGTATATATATATGTATATGTAAAGAGTGTAATTTGAACATGAATAAAAACTGCAAATATACAGAAATGAAAGCTCAGCTGATGATGCTGTTCAGAACTGTAAAGACTGGAGGCTAAGTAGAGGATGACTGTGGGGGTGGAGGAGGGACCAGCAGCCTCCATCAGTAAATCCTGCCAGGAGGTAGAGGAGCAGGACCTGAGGCCCGGGTCTCCACCAGAGTCGGAGCAGGGAGTTTAGAATGGATGCAAGTCCACAGCCTGGCTGCTTCTGCCACTTGTTCACCCATTGTTTCCTTACTTTCTTGGTTCTTTGTTAAAGTTAGTCCTGACTCCTCTGTGCACGTCGTGCTGCTTTTGTTAAAACCTTGACTTGTTTTTAATATCTCAATTCACATCTTTTTTTTCCTTCCAAGCATATTTAGATTTTTCAGTTTTTGTAGAAATCTGTTCTTTGTTGGGGGAACACCAAACTTGGCCCAATTTGTTCAGTCTGCAAGTCTCAGCTCTTTGTTTTGAAATTATTTTTTCCGTTCTTTGCTTTTTAATTAATCGTTAATTATTAATCATCTGCAGGTTGAAGTTTAATGGTGAAGTGCACGCTTTGTAAGGGATTGTCAACTGAAGGACAAGCTTATCTACCAGTAAAACCATTTAACGTCTTGCATCTGTTGACGTTTGTCATGTTTTTTGGGAACACCTTTAGAACCGCTCCTCCTTGACGGGTTGATTTTAGTTCAAAGAGAAATTCTGAAAAGGCAGAAAATGAAAATAAGAACTTTTAAAGGAGCCTCCAAAACAATTGAGCTGTCATTCGAGTCCAGAACTCCCAGGTGCGAGTCTGCCTGTAAATCTGCTCCATCAGCTCGGGTTTTACTGAGGTTCCTATAGTAACGTGGCATCCATCCACCCAGTCATCCTTTACTTAGTGTCAGAGTGAATCAGCATTATTCAAAAAGTCACGTTTGTTATCCTTTCCCCTCTTTTATTTCCCCAGATTACAATTGAAGTGTGGATGTGGGGTCAGATTGTTTCTTTTTTTAATTCTTGAAGGGGAATCTTAACATTCCACTGTACAACCTGGACAAAGGAAGCTTAAATGGAATAAAATGTAATATTGAAAAGGACACATTGTATTGACTTTTGTCTTCAAAGGAGCAGCAGTGGTGGGATGTATGTAAATAACAGAAGAAAAGGTTTAAATTCATGATTTCTCATGTCGTGATAACAGAGGTTCCCTGGGTGACCTCACCATGGCAACCATACCCAACATGATTTATTTATTTATTTGTCTAAATACTTTTCACTGAAGGTTTCAAACCTTTTATGATTTGGGTAGTATAGCCATGTTTTTCTTGCAAATCAGTTTACTTCCAAGTTTTTGATCAATTTGAACAATTTTACAAAAAGCGTTTGTTTTGTGCTGCAGTCTTTGCAAATGATGCAAAGTGTTTCATCTTGTGAACAGCTGGAACACGACCAGCTTTAAGAAGAATGAAGAGTCCTCTGCACGAAGCACTCCCATCAAAACCTTTTACCTACTGAAACAATGCTGCGCTGCTCTGGCAGGTACTTCATGATTAACTGTGATCTGAGCTGTAAACTCTGGATTATTGTTTGCGGTGAGGATTTGAACGTCATGTCTCAGTTTTGATGTCGACCTTTGAACACAATCTGATCCACAGCTAAAAGGTCAGAACGCTGCTGTAAAAATGTATATGTAGATACTTTTTTACTTTGTCAGTATTTCAAAACCATCCATTCATTGTCTTTACCCGCTTCTGCCTTTTTGGGTCACTGGTGCTCATGTCAAGTAACTGCAAGAGGCAGGAGACACCCTGGACTGGTCTCCAGTCCATCACTGGGACACAAAAACAACCAACCATTCACTCTCACACCTAGAGACAGTTACCTGTCAGTCTAACATGCATGTTTTTGGTCTGTGGGAGGAAACTGGAGTATCCAGACAAAACCCACGCAGCACTTAGAGAACATGCAAACTCCTCTCAGAAAGGCTCCGGGCTGGGATTTGATCCGGCAACCTCACTGAGAGGCAACAGCTCTGCCAACTGAGCCACCATCAGCTTGGGGTTTATTGCGGTTCCTATAGAAAAGTTGCATCCATCCATCCACCCATCGGTTACTTAATAACTTAGTAATCCTTTAAGTATCCTTGTATTGAAATATTTGCCTGTTTCAAAACTAAAATACTCATCAAAATATTAAGTTTGTTTACATTTTAAAGCAGCTCAGGCCTATTTCTCTCCAGAGCAGCTTTATGCACCTTCTGATCCCAACACCAGGCTCAAATCAGGCGTCACCATTAACAACCATTGTCAGGTCTGGTTTTGTGGGCTCCCCTCTCTTCTCAGGTCTGGATGAAGGTACAGGAGCTCATGAGCACTTCTACCACAAGAAAAATAAAACTTTAATATGTACATAAATTACAATATGATCTCACAGTAAACAAACTGGGTAATAATTACTAACAAAAAGTCATGGAGGCTGGGATCTTGCAGCACAAGCACCATCCCAAACTGGTATTGCGAACTAGACATGATTGTTAAAAAAACGGTTTACATAAATCAAGTCACACACAAAGTGTCATTACGACACGGCACACGTTTAAACTAGTTTATTTATTCTTCAAAAACTACCTCCCACAAAAAATACCACGACAGCCCAATGTTGGACAGAAATGTTGCACGTCACTCGGCGAAGTTGAGTTGACCGCTGTCATTAGAAGACATCAGGTTGAAGCATTTCAGGTTGTAGAGTCCAGCTGCTTTTTATACTTCAGGTCCCCAGATGGTGCTGAAAAGGACTGTTCAGATGCTTCGAGTAATGAACCCTTATCAAAACAAGCTTCATTTGGTTAGCTCCATCTAGCCTTCTCTGTATTCTTTCATCACACGACCTCTTCTGGAAACATGCCTCTATCAGCCCAAGATCAGGTGGTGTACCTGAAGAAAATGGCGGGAGAAGCTACCACTGCTGTAGTGTCATCGTTCCTGTCCAATCATCTGCAGTTGGTCGACTTCAGATCTTCGGCTCTGATCATCTTGCTTGGAATTTTGGGCAGCTAGGTTCCAAGAAGCATTCTGAAACTGGTGGTATCACCCAAAGGAAAGATTATACAGCTGTGCGCCGAGTCTGCCTGGCGGCTGTAGACGGTTCTTCTTATGTCCAGGACTTCTGCAGCTGTGCTCAGGCCTTTGGCTGTTTCTTTGTTACCATACATGTGTCCTTCTCTGAACTACTTTGACTTCAGTCCCAAGTGCATGTCAAACGTCATCTCAGTTCTTAGTGCGACCACTGATTTAGGAAACCTGTTTTTCAAGTGTGCTCTCACTTCTGATTCACTTCATGTATTTTTGTCTTATCCCACGTGTTTCCTCATAGCTTTGTTTAAGCTGTGCTGTAAATATGAGCACCGATTCTCTGTAACTTGTAGCTGTGCAACATCTTAACTTGAATGTGAATATAATGGTTTGTTGCTGCATTCAATCTGTGCTGTCTTTGAGTTGGGGAAATTTTCTTTTATGTCCACATTCTGTCAATATCAGTAACTCAAGAATTGCCCCAGAAAATCTGAAGGCCTGTCCGTCACTGGGAAGGTTACGATCATAGGGGACCGCCTGAAGACACATTATTATTCACCTGAAAAGGGTCTTACTCTTCCGTCAACTTTAATGTGGCCTGAACCGCAATACTCTCCCACACACAAACCCACCCACAAATGTTATTTCAAAACAAATTAATTTTATTGGCATTTCAGGTTACCATGGCAACATAATTTGCAAACAAAGACACCATTTTTCTCAATGAAAAACACTGACAGAACGTTGAACAGCTTCTAACTGCCACAGTCACATGACCTATAGTGGTGAGGTCATTGAACAAAGCACTGATTAACTTTTGGAGCCATTTGTGTTCAAGATGGCTGCCACAGCTACCTCAGAAAACTCAAAATTGACTATAGCTCAGTCATTCTTTGAGATATTGAGCTAAAATTTGGTATGTGGTAGCTGAGAGCAAGTTGTTGTACTTTCCTAATGCAAATGAAAAATCCAATATGGCAGCCTTAGCTAAAAAGGAAAAAAATATGATAACTTAGCTATTTGAAAATATATTGAGCTGAAGTTTAGTGTGGTGGTACCTGACAGTGATGCACAACATATTCTGAATTCAAATCTAAAAATGCTAGATGACCACCAAAGCAACATGCCTGTTTGTTCTGTAACAGAACAAACAGGCCATATACAGCATGTAACAGAATAAATGGGCCATATACAGC